GTAAAAAGACAATGCTTGGCTCCGTTGTTTAAGAGTCTGAAATGAAGACGCTAAGGAATCATGTCGCACTTTAAAAATCAATAATAATCAATAAAGTGTGGGAAGGTTTATATATTCAGGATAGGAAGTGAATCATCAAATATCTATATATATATATACGCATTCTTCTATTAATGCATTAATAAAATAGCGTACTATAATTAAATGATAAATTAGTTTTTGTGCAATGATTATATATATATATTTAATGAATGCAATAATAAAATGATTCTATTAGCAATACACATAACACTTCGGCATCATTCGGAAATAAAACGAAAAAAAAAATTCCGTAGAACTAAAATATAAAAAAAAATATCATCTAAAACGATTAATCTCTCATTTGTAATTGTCATTTTGCACATTGTTATAACTTTTATATTGATATAATATAGAATTTTATATTCCGAATTTTATATTCTTTTATCCTATAATGCAAAATTTATTATTATTATTGTATACATATATAATTCATTTAATATTTACTTTGAAAGAATTTAATGGTTATTTTCAATAACATTAAATAATAATACGATACTTGTTAGTGTTATAGATTAACACTTATTGCATATTTCTAAATATCTCTATCACATTAGCGTATTAGTAATGATATTCAGAACAGAACTTAAATAATCTTGTCCTCAAACAAGCATAAAGCCGATGTAAATTAAAATCGATACGATGGCAAAGACAGAATTAATGTGTCACGAATGGGCACAAATATATTTCAATCTATGATATTTTATAATTTAATAAAATCCTAATTATTTCCAATAAACATAACAAGCATAACAACAAGCATATTTTTTATTTATTATAAAATTTAAAAACATATAAAAAATTCATTTTCTAAATAAATTTCCTATATAAATATTCTATATAAAAGATTTACAATTTAAAAAAAAACACAATTTTAAAAATATTATTAAATCTAATAAGAATTCATAATTATCAAAAAATAAATTATAAATAAATTATAAATTAATTAAAAATTTAATTAATTAAAATTAATTAAAAAAATATTCCTATCATACAATTCATTCAATTGTTTTATTTAAATTAATCACCAATAAATAGAAAAAAATATTTATATTTTATATTTATTATATATATTATATTATTTATTATATATATTATATTATAATAATTATAAATTATTTTATGAAATTATGTGAATATAGAAATATTTTTAATAGTAAGAAATATTTTATATATAAATTCTTGATTATATTGTTATTATATTATTTGAAAATAAATTAAATTTAATTACAATTAAAATACGCTAGAAAAAAAAATTTACCTTTATACAATAGTAACATCTCGATAGCTTACCAATAAACTCACATAAATTTTTACAATCTACTATACTCGACCGATTTCTTTGATGTTACGTAATTGACTACCACATAAGTTTGCGACAAAATTGTTAGCTGAATTCAATGTATTAAGCATTACTAAAATCAATAACGCGCCACGTCGTCATATAAATTGTCTATGAATTCTGATGCTATTGATAAAAAGTCACTGTTTTACTTGATAAGTAAAAATTTCTTTTTTACATAAAAATTTAATGAATAAAAATTTAGTCGAAATATATTCAAAATGCTATTTCTTTGAAAAGAAATAAGAAATTTAATCGATGCTTCCGTTTTAAATATATTTTAGTATTTTATTCGATAGTCATTCTTCCGACATCTATACATATTGTGTAACGAACAAGTAGAAACTATAAACAACTTCCTTCCGGTAATATAAAATAACGTATAAATCCTATCTGCATAATTTTTCGAAAAATTAAATTTTATTCTTAGAGTTGAATTTAATCAATTTTATTAATATTTAATTTTATATGTATTTCATCTTTTTCATTAAAATAAAAATATTTCAATTTCACAATTTCAATTTTAATTATTAAAAATTTCAATTTCATTGATTGATTTTTCAATTATATATATAATTCATATAAAGATAAAAAAATTTCATTATTTAATTCAAAATCATTTTAATTAACAACTACAATTATTTTAATATAATAAAATATTTATTATGAAAATTTAAGTTATTTTAATAAAATATTAATATATATATACGTATAATTTATGCATGAAAAAATTATTTTAAATATAAGTAATAATATCAAATAAAATATAGAAATTTTTATTCTTCATGTTATGCATGATTACATCACATTGATCTAAATCAATATTTTATTATATTAAATATTATAGATTAAAAATTTTTAAATAATAAATATTTAAAAATATTTCATTAAACATAAGAAAAATATTTTTTTGAAATTTGTATTAATAAATTTATCTATGCATTTTCTTGACAAATATTATAAAAAAATACGAAATTTTACAAGTAATTTTTTAATGGTAATATAATATTAATATTAAATATATTAAATATGTAATTTATTTTAATAACATAAGGAAATAAGAGGAGAAGAGAAAGAAAACTTTATAAAGAACAATCATATGTCATATTATTTCATATCGTTATATGTCTTATGAATAATTTATATCTAATAAATATATAATATGTAATTTGCAAAATAATCATGTAGAACATTAAATTAAAATGATATTAAGAACTTACCTTCATATTGTTCTCGACAATATATTCGATCGAACATAGTTGATAAACGACGTATGCACGAAGCAGTTCTTTCGTGGTTTTACTTTTAAAAGCAGCAATTGGATCGTTAAACTTCAAATCCAAAGGATCAATCTGCCGTGGAGCCGGCTTCACGTCAGTAGTAGTGCCGGTGTATTCACGTTCGTGCACCTGCACCAACTGCACCGATGGCTTCGTTATGTTCTCGAGAAACCCAATAGGAAGTGGTAAACATTTCCTTAACTTTTTACCGGCACTGCAACGCGGCACCGTTCTCAAAAACGCCATACCTGGCCGTCGCGTGTCTAATGTAAGAAATGTCAGCAATGAGACGCTCTATTTAGAAAATTTGCAACCCGCCTACCGCTATAATTTTTGTCTTTTGAGTTTCACTGAAAAAAACTAACGGCAGAAATATGTAAATGTTTCAATTTAAAACGTAAATTGGGCAAGACAATTTTCTTAGTGAGAAACGGGGTAAATCCAACTTGCTACGATCGAGTCGGAGACCCCAATACCAATAGAGGTATCTCGTCAAAGTTTAGACCGAATCACAAGGTGGGGTACTTGTAGACATCCAGCGACGTACAAGTCAAACGCTTACCTTCCGACAATACTGTCTGATATAAAATCTATATAAAATACTTGCTTAAAAGCAACTTTAAAAAGCATATAAATTTTTCAGAAGAGATTCTTTTTTATTTTATTACAAATATAATGCGATTAAGTGAATTTCAATTGTTGTACGTTGCCCCAATTACCATACCGTAACAATAGATACTAGTTCTCTGATTGGTTCGTTGCAGAGGTGTGTTCAGATTGCTGTTCATGACTGGTCGGTTAAATTTTGGGAAATGCCAATAACTGCGCTATCGTATAACGCGCACAGTGGCGCAAAACATGTTTTATATTACCCTGAACTACATAATTTTATTTAATTGTGATATATATTTTAATATCTTATTTTAATTCTCTACTTATTCAAATTATGAATAATACATAAAATAATTTTTTTATATAGTTTTTTTTATTTTCAATTATATAAAAATATTTGAATAATTTTAAAATTATCAATTTTAAAATAATCAATTTTTAAAAATCGAATGTCATGTAAATAATTAGTTATTTTATAATATTTATAGATTAGTTGTAATTAAATAAATAATTATTCAACATCTCTTATTTATACATATTATAATATATAAAAATATATTTTAAAACTATTGATTGATAAATATAAGTATTATGGAATGAAAATATAAATATATATATGATATAAAATACAAAAGAAATATAAATAATTATAATTAATTATACAATTCTATATATTTCAATTAAATTTTTCTATAAGTTTATATGTTAAACTTCTATAAAGTTTATATGTTTATTGTAACACTTACATGAAATAATAACAATTTATATAATAGTATATAAAATAGCATAAAATATATAATAAAATAAAAAAATATAATAAAATAAAATATATAATAATCAAAATATATTTTGAATTGTATAATTTGTGATTTATATTATTAATCAAGTAATTGTACAATTGATGTGTGTGTGTGTGTATTTATTATTTTGATAATGATTTTTAATTTTAAATATTTTATATTTATTTTTATTTTATATTATATTATTAATATACTTTATATCATTACATATATATTTTGCTTACGTTGATAACCGTTGATGTATATACAATGATAAATAACCAATAAGATTGCATCATTCAAAATGATTAAATGAAAAAAAGTGAAATAATATTTATAATTTATTAACAAATATTTTTAATATAATAAATCATGTTGACATATATAAATATTATGCACATTTTTTAATTAATCTTATTTTACTATTCTTATTCTTTGTATTATAAGATATATATCATTTCTTTTTCTAAACTATATCTTTTATTTACCAAAATATAATTTAATTTAATTCATTTTATTAATTGAATTATTATTAAAGATTGAATAATTCATATATGAATAATTAATAAATAAATATTTAATTTTTTAAGTATTATGTATCGATATCATCATGAATATTATGTACATATACATGTATGTCAATAGAAACTTAAATTTTAATAAATTTTATAACTAAACGTGTAAAAATAAAATTATTACTGCAATTATTGCCATTCAAAAATGTATGTATATTCTAAATAATATTTAATCATTTATATTATTGAAAATTAATATAAATAGATATATCTTATATATTTCTTATAATACATTTAATAGGAATTCATAGTACATATCATAAAGCTTATATATATTTATATATATATATGTGTGTGTGTGTGTGTATGTGTAAGATACTTAAATTTAAATTTAAAAATTAATAATTTCAAAAATGAAAATGCTATTGTTTTAATTTTAATTATAGTAACTTGCATCATTTTAATATTATCATCTCTACCATCTTGTTATCATTAACACGCGTATATCGAATTAATTTCTAACCTTAAATTGTTAACTCAAAAATTTGTGTAAAAGACAAGACATAAAAAAATGTTTTGGAAATGTTAAAAATAGAAACAATCAGTACAATTTTTTTACAAATTAAATACTGTCATCAAATTTATTTATATAAAATTTATAACCAATATTTACAAAAAACATATAGTGTTAGTGGAAACAATATTTGTGATATAAATTTTTAATATGTATAATTTATATTATTATATAGTAATGACTTCATATATAATGAAGCAATATTGTCATTTATTTAAAAAGTCATTTATTGTCATATACTGAATAAAAAAAATGGATGATTCAATAAAATTAATTATACATAAAGGCAGCACAATTTTCGATAGCATTATTATTACATATTATTCTGTGATTAAATACGAACAAAAAGCAAGAGAAACTAAAAATATATATCAAACAAATATTAATATGAACAATGTCAATGAAAGTAATGTAGTACAAGTAAATAGAAATTCCTTAAACAGAAAAGGATTTAATGCCTACATTATATCAGCATATATTACAACGTTAATAAATTCACAAACATATCGAAAGGCTGCATTTAAAAAATTATTACAATACTTAACATACAAACTGTTAAATAAAGTAGATTCAAAAATGATTCTAATAAAATTGCGAATGCCAAGAAAACAATTTTTAGATTACAAATGGTAAGATTTCAAATACCGATTTAATCAAAATCTTTTTATTTCAATGTTATGAAATTGTACAGTAAAATGAAATTTAACTTTAGGAATCAAAGAATAACACAAATAGCAATGGAAAGAAGAGAAGTTGATCATGCTATGTCTTGGTTATCTACTTTAGGTGGAGCATTTTCTGCTTTAGGAGAAGAATTTCAATATTGCGTAATTTCTATTCTTATGAAATATATTAAAAAATAATAAATAAAATTTTATTGATTTATAGTAATTTTTGGAATAATTTAAGAAAAAATATGAAATTTTATTTAAACATAATATTTTTTCTTATGCAGGCTGAAATAGCAGGAAAAATTTCCATAAAACAATTTGAACTGGCGCTTCGTCTTAGAGATCCTTTTCTAGTTGCTCGTTGTAAATTATATATTGCTTTAAGTTTGATTCAACAAGGTCAGTTAAAAACCCCAAAACAGATCGTAAAGCATATTTATAAGTTTTCTATAAATCAGAATGATATTCGTTTACAAAATATGTGTCAAGGTATATGGGCAAAACTTAAATATTGTTATAAAATACAAAAAGAACGGCATAAAACTTAGTAATCAATATTAATTTCATAAAATTTTTAAAAATAGTTTAAAATTAGGCTAATTAAATTTGATATTTATGTTTAAAAATAAATAATATGAAAATATTGTTTTCAAAAATGTATTTTTTGTAATTATTAAATAAATGTTAATAAAAAATATTATATTCTGTTAAATTAAAATTAATAAACATATATATTTTCAACATTTTTATTAATTTTCATACAATTATTAAGTCTTTTTAATTTGCAAACATTTGAAACAGAAATATAAACAGAAATATATGAATAATATTTAAATATGAATTTAAATGCTACAAAATTTCTTGAAATTTTTTAAATACATTTCATGGCTTTTATCATATATGAATATTTAGAATATTTCTATAATGGAATTTTTAATTTTTTTGGTTTCTCTGCATTTTTAAATATATTTAACTTATGTATTTAAGTGTGTGTGTGTGTCTGTGCACGCGCGCGTGACATTTAATGTAACAAAAAAAAAAAAAAAAAAAAAGAAGAAAAAAAAACAACAGTTATTATTTGTAAATATATCTAAACTATAAGTTAAAAACGAAATTATACACATGATCATCTTAAATTTTAGGAACTATGTTAAATATACAGTTTTAATATTTTATTAATTACAGCAATATATATTATTTTATATCTGAAAGAGCATTAGATAATTCAAATCATAATTTAATTCTCTAGAATTATTTTAATTGTTGTTAATGAACTATAAAAGTGTTAAAGTCTTATTTTATTGTACTTTTCTGTACCAATGTGCTTAAAATTTTATTTGATGTTCAATTTTTAATATTATATACACACTTTTGTTAACTAAAATATTCCATCTTGAAGTAATTTAAGCTTACATTATTATCAGTGAGCAAGTGTACCCATAGGATCCCATGCAGGTAAAGTTATAGGTTCTTGTTTAAATACATCCAAAACATTCTCGGGTACTAATTTTCTATCAATGACTGCTTCAAAAACAAATTCAGAAAACCAATCAGCTGTTAATAATAAATATCCTTTTTGTCCTTGATCATCACCCCAAGAATTTTCTACTCGAAATTGTTTAATTTTACCTTCATTCTAAAAAAAAATTATAATTTATAATTATAGGTTTCAATAAATAATTTAATTCAATAAATATGTATTATTAAACATAAATATCTACATATGTCTTTAATTTTTAATAATATAAAAAAATATTTGATATATAATTTGATACATACTTAACATATAATTTAATCAAAAATTTATCCTGTACTATACTTAAATTATATAATATAATAATAATATATAATTCAATAAATAAATGATAAAAAAATACAAATATTATATATGTATATTACAAATAATAGAAAATTATAGTAAATAAAATTTGTGGAAAAAAATAAAAAAAAATTTAATTTTTTTAAAAAATTTTACTTTACATAAAATTAATTTTATGAATATAATAAATATCTATATATTTGATCTGAACATTGAGATTTAATTAAATAATTCAGGAATCAAAGAATAACACAAATAGCAATGGAAAGAAGAGAAGTTGATCATGCTATGTTCATAAATAATACATTATACAAATAACACACTATATAACTTTTTAAAATAAAAAAATGTTTTTTGATATAAATTAATCAAAAAAATATCAATATATTTGTATAAATTTTTTATAAAAATTTTTTAACTTACATCAATTGAAACAGCTGTCAATGCCATTGCATGAACCATCATAGAATCCCCATAAAGTAATCTATCTGCTTTTGTAAGATTAACTTGGATATCAGTTCCAAACATTAATTCAAAATCATATGCTCTCATATCTTGTATACCTTGTTTAGCGATTAATCGTTTGTTTACATCACATCCAAACCATACAGGTTCATTTTGTTTTATACTTTCTGCACATAATTTCATTAATAATTCAGGTGGTTGATTATTATATAGTGTAAGTCTTCCGCCCCAAACATTTCCTAAACAGTCTATGGTATAAAGTTTTCCATATGGATTAGATGGTCTAGGATCAGTTACTAAGCATACTTTATCATCTACATTATAATAAGGTTTCACATATTTTTCATAAAATTCTACTGGTGAAATAGGTCCAATGCAATTATAATTCTTTGCCTTATCATAATATTCCCAAGTGATTGTTTTTGAGGGTATACCTAAACAAATACCAATTATTCGATAAATTACAACCATTTGTTCCAAAATCTGAGCTTCTAATTCTTCATCTGTTGCACCATGAGATACTAAATCTCTTAAAACTTTGGAATATTCTCTCAATTTACTCTTTAAAATAGTATTCATGCGTGAACTAGACTCGCAATTATATGATTCTGGGAAACAGATTTTAGGAACAAGACCATGTCTATTTATAAGATTGACAACCATATCCCATTGACCTCCATCACAAATAGGATCATGTAACAAAAATGAAACTAATCGACCTTCTACTGGTTCATTTCTTTTAGCAGTTTTTACAATATTATGTAAAAAATAATTACACCGTTCAATCTATATAATAAAAAATATATTTATAAATATAAAAACCTATATATATATATATAATGCAATATTATTATAATAAATATATTTATATAATAAATGCAATATATATATAATAAAAACCTTATCCCAAAAGAATAAATAAGCTTGGCTAAACTCAAACTCATCTAAATTGTATTGCTTCATAAAGGCACTTCTTATAACATTTAAAGTAGAAAATATCCAGCATCGACCAGAATTTTTTTGATTTGTAATAGGTTTTCCTTCTGTTGCAATCTTGTGAGTAAATACATGTTGTGTTTCTTGCAAAACTTTTCGGGAAACACAAACTTCCAAGGGATTAGTTCTTGTACATACATTTTGTGCCAAAGTATTGCGATTATCTTCATAAAATTTTGCACGTAATTGATTTAGAATTTCTGATGTTAAAATACCTGCTGCTTAAAAATAAAATTAATATATAATTTATATATATAATATTTAATAATAATAATTATAAATAAAGAAAAATAATATTTAATTTTCTTAACAAAATATCTTAATAAGTTTCTGAAAATATTATACATTATATTTTAATATGTATATTATGTATGTAAAATATGTATATATTTTTATCGAAAATATATTTTTAATTTAATTGAGAAATTATAATTATAAATATTCTAAAACAAATTCTTTCGTTTAAATATTTAAAATCAGAAATCAATTAATTTTAATCTTTTTGAAAAATAAACATTTTATTAACAGCATTTATCAATATCATAATAGTTCATAAAAACAGGGAGTGGCTAAACAAAATGTAGAATGTTAATCTTCGCTACATTGAAAAGTTCGATTTTTCTTTATATGTATTACAAATATCATATTAGAAAAAAATATGAAAATTGAATATATAAATATAAATAAAAAGATAACTCACAGGCAACCATCGTTATATATGAATTCTTCTTGCCTTAATTTTAATAGATTCAATTAAGAATTTCGACCAAGTACTATACAAAGTTCAGAAATCACAGAAGCATACCACTTTTGTTACATACATTTCATTCGTTTGATAGACGGAACAAGAAAGATAATATTATCTACTATAAGGAACTAGAAAGAAGTTCGTGAGACGGCACAGAGGCAAAGGGAATATTCCCCTCCTTTAGTCACTTACACACGATGTTATATGATCTTATCTGTAGATGTGATACTTTTGGCCAATATGCGTGTTTATTTGTACGATTGTATTATCCTATTGTATTAGAAATAACCAATCAAACTTGTATTTCTTTTAAAAGACTTCTTTTTCATATTAATTTATAAATTTTTAAATAAATCAAAAATATAAATATTTAAATAGAATTTATATTTATAATTTAAATAAAAATAAAAATATATTGTAAACCAATTAAAAAATGAATATTTATATTTAATAGAAAATAAAAGAGGAAATAAAAATTACGATTTAACTTTTGGCTTCAATTTCCAAAACAATTTAAAAAAAATAAAATATTTTAATATAATCATGGAAAAAAAAAGCTTTGATTTGATATCATAAAACACTTATACATCAGTTAGAAAATTATAATTTAAAATATATATATAAATATATAAATAGTCAATATTTGTACAATATATGTATGTATTTTAACCTCTTTTACTCTTTTAA